AAACGAAAAAAAAAAAAAAGTAGGAAAAAATAATTCCGTTGCCGGGACTTGAACCCGGGTCTCTCGGGTGAGAGCCGAGTATCCTAACCACCTAGACTACAACGGAAGTTGTTAGATGTCGGAGTTTTATTTTTAAGACTGAAAAGTAAGCATATTTTAGTGTTATCACAAAGGATCCATGGGATGGGCTTCAACTAATGCGATTGCCCGAACTATAACATTGAAATCAAATTGAATTAGAAACCAAGTTTTTTCTTCACCATGGAAGCTTGAAACTCAATTACAATTCACAGTTATGTGTCTAGACAAAAACTTGCCTTTCACTATAATCAATATCTATCTACCTTTCTATTCTGTACTTTATATCAGATAACTCTTGTTCAATTTTACAGATTTGAAGATACGAACAACATAAGTAATGTTCATATCTAACAAAAACTAACACAAGAAGTTAGTATATACATAAAGTTATAACATATCATATGAAAAAAAGATAAAATGCTGTAAACTCAAAAAAACATGGCGAGCCAAAAATGGCTCTTCTTCCTTCACATTCTACTCCACTTATCACTCCTCAATTATTCCATCCCTCTCGACTCGAAATCGGCTGGCTTCACCCAAAAACTCACCCGACGAGACTCGAACGACTTCTCCGAATTCTCGACTTTCAATAACTATTTCCCGAACACAATCCGCCCGAGAATCACCCGAACAGCTTCGATTTTCAAGGCCGAGGCCACAATCGGCGCTCCCCCAATCCCCAAATCCTTCATATTCGACCCGGGCAGCGACCTGACCTGGACAAAATGCACTCCATGCATCAACTGCTTCAAACAAGACTTCCCGCTTTTTGACCCGAAAAAATCCAAAACCTACCTCAAACTCCCTTCGAACCACTCTTCGGTAAAATACTTCGAAAAATCGAAAAACAGAAGTTTTATCTTCAGAATACTCTACGGCTCGGGCAAATCGGCCTCCGGCACGGTCTCGATGGAAAGCTTCGGTTTTCCATCCCGAAACAGAAAGTTTTGAGGGGGCATGAAAACGTAACATTCGGTTGCGCACACAACCAAAGAGGAAATTTTAAGAGATCAATAACCGGGATCATGGGCATGAGCCAATCCCCATTGTCCATGTTCAGACAAATGGGCTCGTCTATCGGGAGATTCTCGTATTGCTTGCCTCATATACTAACCCCCCTTAAGACAACATTCTTGAGATTCGGTGATGATGTCACGGGTCGAAACCTAAGTTCAACGCCCTTTTTGAACCATGACTACAAATACAAAGTGGGATTGGTGGACATAAGCATTCATAGTAAGCGTTTAAATCTACCGAATGGCACATTTCCGAGAGGCTGCATGTTGGATGCCGGCTGCAGCCACAACCTAGTCGAAATGCGTGTTTATGAGAAGATTCTAACGGTGCTGATGCAATATTTCGAGAGGTTTAACATGAGTAGGATAAGGGCAAGTGTGGATGGATTTCTAGGGGAGGAGCTCTGCTATCGTCCCCCGAGAGGATTCAAAAGCTACCAGAGCATGACGTACCATTTTCCGAGGGGGGGACTTTGAGGTGCAGCCGGAGAACATGTTCCGAGTGGCGGATGATCGGATTTGCCTGGCGGTGAGAGGGTGGAATAATGAGACGGTTTTAGGCACGTATCAACAGCAGATCGTGAGGTTCGTTTAAGATGTAGGTAATCAGAAGCTGTTGTTTGGTAAGGAGGATTGCTCACAGGATAGAGCTTGAGTTGAGTTTGAACAGAAGTTAATTGGACAATAACAACAAGCACAGGTTCTTTACTCCCTTGCAGTTATGTATTGTGATGAGATGATGCATAATTCTTGAACGGTAACAAAAAGCACGTTGAAAAGAACTCCACAACTGTTACTTACAGTTACTGCCCTTATCCATGTTTTACATTTAGAGTGATATTAAAATAAATTGATTTTCAAGATCTGATTTTTAGGGAAAAAATGAAGATAACAGCTTCTTATGTGAATATATATATATATACTATTTATCTCAACCTATATAAAAATGGGAAAATCTCAGGCCCTGTTTGGTAATCAGCTGTTAGCTGTTAGCGGATTGTCATAGCTGTTTTGACCAGCGGATTATGTTAGCTGTTTTGACCAGCGGTTAGTTTTAGCGGTTCTGCAAATGTTGTTTGGTAAAATTAGCTGATTGATTTTGAAAAATTATATGTGGCATTATTCATTTGATAAAATAGTTTGTATAAATGATGATAAAAGATAAATTTGATATAATTAAGTTTTTATATTTATAAAAAAAAATCAACATAAAAAATAACTAATTAAAATATTAAAGGTAGAAAAAGAAAAAATACAATTAACTATTAATTTGATATCTAAACAAAAAATACAAAAAGAAGAAGATGTGGGAAAAAGGCAATTGAAAGTGGAAGAAAAAAAAAAGCTTTAAACAATTAACCATATATGCTTGCGGTAATAAAGCTGAAAGAAAAAAAAAATAAAGCTGAAAGAAAAAGCATGAAAAAATAAAGCTAAAAGAAAAAAGGCTGAAAAAGCTTGTACAAAACGCTGCTCTCCCCAGCGTTTCAATTTTTGGCTTTTTCACCCAAAAAGCTGAAAGAAAAAGCCAACAACCAAACAACATTTTTGGCGTTTCAAATTGGTCAAAACCGCTGAAACAGCTGTTTGGCCCAAAACGCCAAAAAACAAACAAGCCCTCAGTCTTTTCGAAAAATCATTCCATACCTACATATATAAATGTAGAGTTTTTGGAACTTAAAAAAAATAAATATATATATAAATTTATAGTGCTACTTATTCCTACGTATCGAATTCTCCATATATAAAGCAACAACAGATAAAAGAGAAGAACCAGCTATGCTTCATCATAATCAACACTATCAAGATTAAGAAATGAAATTTTCTTGTTTCAGACAAGAGTAAAATGTATGTTGGAGAGAATGCTTATGCCACTAATCCATGTCGGGAGCATTCATGGCGCAAAAATTTAGTTTTGTTCTGCATCACTTGGTTACCTTGAAACTCTGCGTTGATGGAAAAAAAAAAAAAAAAAACATATAATAACTATTAGCTAAGAAAATAGAACTTCAAACCAATGCAATAATTATACAGTTTTGTTGTTGCAGCAGCAGTGTTTGAACGATCTTGTTCGACCAATTTGAGAACTGTATGATATATTTCATAGGTTATGTCGTCAAATATTACGATTACTCTTATGTGTTAAGTCTAATTGGAAAAGCAAAAATTCACAAATCAAACAATTACGGTCACAATATTGGAGAACGAATATCCAGTTTTTTTTGCAATTTTATTGTCCATCCACTTCAGAAGACACTAGTATCGTGGCCCGTGCAAATGCACGGAACTACTAAAAATAAATGAAGTAAGGAAACATAAATAGAATAAATAATTTTTATATGCAATTAAAATAGATTATTATATACAATGTTTATATTTGTATATTTTATTTCGCATTATGTATCACTATCTTGTGTCTTTTTATTTGTAACTCGAGAAGCAACAATGTAAAGTTCAGAATTAAAAGCCTAAAAGTAGATTCCTATATATATATATATATATAATAGAACAAATTGACATAGTATTAACGAATTTTTTTTATATAGTTTTTTTTAGTTATTTTTATATAGTTTTCCATGAATTTAACGAATTTCTTTCTAAAAACGTTATTTTTTTTATTTATGAAATCTAACGATATGGACCAAAATTTATTGATAAACGAAAAATTGAGGTACTAAATTGATTTAGTTGGAACATCATGAACTAAATGCGCAAATATATATAGTTGGGGTATAAGAAAATTCTCAAATTATTTTATTATCTTAACACATTTTATTACGATTTGTTTGAATTTATCATGTAATTTAGATCGTATTTTGACACTTGAATATATTATTTCTTACTTGTCTGGTTTTATAATTTATAATGTAATCTTATTTATTAACTATTATTTTCTATACATATACTTACAATTTACTTATTTGTGAACTATTCTTTTATTTAAATAAGTACCATATTATTATCTAATATCTTCATGTTTTTAGGAAGACTTTAAATATAAATTATTATTTAACATATATCATAAATAATTTAACGTGATTCAACATATCATGTACATGTAAAAAGAAATTTACTTTTATATTAATGAAAAATCAAAACTGACAAAACATTTCAAAATGCCTATTTAGTGGTAATAACAAATTTAGGTCCACTTTTACTATTAACTTATTATAAAAAATTAAAAAAAATATAATTAACGGAGGTTGAATCACGTTTAATAAAAAAATATAGAATTAGAACTAACTTTCCATAAATAGTAATATAATGAGGGACCCACTAAAACGCTTACTATTTTTAGTAAGTGAGTTGCCTAATTATATAGTAATAGATAAGTCGAAACGTACGTACCTTCACCTTTTTCAGCAAGTCCTTAGCCTTGGGATCGGTGTTAAAATGGTCACGAACCGGCTGCACAACATACACAAGCCCAAGTAAATAGACAAGCACAACATACTAGACCACTGCACGAATTCCATTATCAATCCTCAAAATGTATAAACTCTATGCTTTTGAAAATAACACGGGAGAAGATCGGGCAATTTTAAGGTAACCCAACATTTATGCAGTGTAAATGTCCTCATCTCACCTCATATGAGTGCTTTCATTATGCAAAACGAGTAAATAACTAATCTAGCAGTAACTTTTCACATCATCATACAGGGGACGGATATTATACAAGACCTGTAGAATCCGGTTCAATGCCTTGGCTAGAGCAGGTTTGAGATCCCCAGGGTGCAATTCCCCACTTTCATAATCATCGGCTAAATCTTTAAAATTCTTGAAAGTCCTGAAGGAGTATCACAAATTTAGGTACAATATATACATACATATATGCATACATTCATACATATATGCATACATATGGGTGTGGGTGTGGGTGTGGGTGTGTGTGTGCGCACAAGTAGAAAATATTCCATAAACAAATAGCACTGGACAATAAAAATGGGCACAATTGATTCT